TTTATATATATAAAAGTATATATATATAAATATATACATTATATATATATAAATATACATACATATTATATATATATATAATGTGTATGTATATTCATATATATATATATATATATGAATATACATACACATTATATATTCATATATATATATATATATATATATATATATATATATATATATATATATGCAATTTATATATATATTATTTATATATTATATATGCGTGGGACTTATTGGAAAGTGCTCAATATCAGTGATAGAGCTAACATATTTAGTTGTATGGATGTGAGTTTGTGATCCCAGGTTTCACGCTACTTGCGATCGTGAAACCCAGGGTCTCAAACTCACGTCAATCCGACTATATATATATATATATATATATATTCGAGTCGAGCTCGAATTCCAGTCGAATCCATTACATTTACTAACGTGCTAATACCTCTGGAAAAACGTATGAATCCTCTTCTTCTCCCTCTAGCTATGGGTAAATATCAGGACAGACTGGGTTCTATAGTCTTGGATGGTAACTGGTCTAGAAGAAGGACATTTCTGATTTCAAAATCCGAGAAAGGATGTTTGGGGACCTTGTGGTACGTATGTCTCTGTATTCAGCTCTTCAAAAAGTTTAGTTGGTTCTGCATAAAACCTTCACAACTATAATCAAATCATATGTGCTTGTGCCGAATACGTCGGGAGAGTCCACCATATATATATATATATATATGTGTGTGTGTGTGTGTGTGTGTGTGTGTGGGCGTAATGACTTTATTCTGAAAACAAAGCATTCATTAAATCCTAATCAATGGTAATCCTTTTCTTACTGATTTCAAATGAATTTCATTATTAAACCTATTTAATTATGCATTTACATTATGTGTATGATAGTCCTGTTTTATCGATAACGTTTGAAATTTACTATAATTGTAGTGTCGCTTTTAATCATTTGAGAATAAATTTGGTTATTTGACAGATGAACGAGTCTGCTTATCTGATAAGCTGCTTGTTACACTTAGTAAGTTCAAATTCATTTTAGCGCTGATAGAAGATGTGCTGTTAACAACATGGCGTCGAGCCGTTGAAGCCATATTCAACATTAGCTGTGCTGTGTTACTACGTTTAATTCTGAAAAAGAAAACACACGTCTATCACAAACAAATGTAGAACCTCAGCTTTTAATAGTCCTCTTCTTGTAAATTGCTTAAAAATGATTTCTAAAAATTTATTCAAGTTATTTAAAAGATAACTATCATTAATATTCATTTGCTGCATTATTGGTATTATAAATACCTTTCCACCGATAGAATCTACAACATTCTGTAATTTCGAGAACAATCCTTATTCATTTTCACCATCGAAATCTTTGTATAATTTTGGCCGATAAATTCAAGAGCACTTCGCTTGTATACAATTGATAAAACTGTAAACTACATGTTAAGTAAATAGATGCGTGTTCGAATTCCAGTCGGGTTCATTAGATACACTTACGCACAAATACCCATGGGAAAAGTATGAATCCATCTCTTCTCCCCCATCTATGGGTTGAATAGCAGGACAGACTGTGTTCTTTAGGCATGCTTGGCAACAAGTCTACCGCAGAAAGAAATGGCAACCTTCTCTGGGGAAAAAAATCTGCCTCATCAGTCATATATCGAATGATACATGATCGCCCAAGCATGTATCACGTATGACACTTAACTGACTGAAGTGAATAGAGTTGATCTCCAGAGAATATAAAAGCAGAATTGATAGATTAAGAAGAGTGATACAGTAGTAATCATACTAACGAATTGTTCTCGACTATCCGATTTTAAATAAAATAAGTGTGTATATTATCATAAAGGAAAAAAATGGATCCTTATCGTAACTAGCAACAAAATCATTATTGAAATGGAGGAGATACTGATGAAGAATATTGTACATCATTTGAAGAGACTTATTTTCACTTAATTTCTAGGGATTACCCCCAAATTTGTCAGGTTAATAAATACAGAAACAATGGCAAGATAAACCGCTTCATGGCCAATACACTGCTCGTACCAAACAAGCTGATGTAGACAATCCCCGTACCCATCAATGGCTACGTCGTGCAGGGTTAAAAGCTGAAACGGAAGGTTTTATTCTTGTTGCTCAGGATTAATGCTTGTTAACTAGAAAATATCAAGCACGCATACTAAAATATTGTGTTCGCCCAAAATGCAGGTTCTGTGATAATTACCCATAAACTATCGATCATCTTGTATCAGATAGCACGGATTTGGCACTCACTGAATATAAAACCCGGCATGACAGAGTGGGCCAATATCTGCACTGGAAAATGTGTAAATTCTATGGGAAGGAAACTGAAAGAAAGTGGTATGAATACCATTCAAACCCGGTTACGGAGATAGAACCTGTTAACATTTAATGGGACTACACAATACACACTGACAGAACAATCAAAGCTAACCTCAGACATCGTTATTAGAGACCGCACAAAAAAGTGCCTCCTTATTGATATGGCAGTCCCTGCAGACTGCAATGTATCTTTCAAGATCTTCAAAAATCTATCAAAATACAAGGACCTTGAAATCAAAATCTCAAAAATGTGGCACATGGGAACAGCAACAATCTCCGTTGTAGTTGGAGCCCTCGGATTGGTTGGAAAAGATTAATTGAAGGGATTCCTGGAAGCCCATTCCTTAAAAAATACAAAAAAAATTGTTTTCACGAGTACAGCCCACACCTTACGAAGGGCTTTGTCTATGTAAAAAAAAAAATTCCAGTAGAAAATATGATGCCATTTCTAACCTTAAGTCCCTAGGCGGGATCCGGAAAGAAATGAGTACACATCAGAAATCAAAAGAAAAAAAAAAATTCGTGTGATTGGTTAACGAAAGGCGAACTGAAACTCGAGACTGAAGGCCTACTGGTAGCCTATCAAGAAAAAACCCTGAATATTAATTCTGTCTGGAAGAATATCTAACGACACATGTTTTCGGACAAGTTTTGGCTGTGTGGCCTGGAGGTGAAAAATGTCACCCACATCATTAGCACTTGTAAAATGCTTGCATAGAAAGAATGCAAGCGCTGCCGTGATAAATTGGTCTCCAATCTGTATCGGTGCCTATGTAGGAAGTATGGACTCGAAGCCGATGCGAAATTGTACCGACACAAGCCAGAGAATGGGATCGACCAAGTCAAGATAACAGAACATATCCTTGAAGCCACCATACCACACGTTGTTGAAAAAAAAAAAGAAAAAGAACACTGAGATCCGAGTTGTTAGAATTTGGGACGTTCAAGCGATTATTCTCTCTTGGAGCGTTGGCGACTATGGTTCAATCGAACTGAAAGGCCTACATTAAGAAACTCAGAATAAAGCCGAGTATTCAGAATTCTGCGTTGCTTGGAACTAAAAATATTCTACGAAAGTTGCTATCTCTCTGTGGTTGATTCGTTGTGTTTGTTTAGAGCCATATCAACTTCTTCAGTTCAGTTTTTGCCATGCGGGATACACGTCTAGGCGATCATGTATATTTCGATACATGACTGACGTGGCAGATTTTTTCCCGCAGTAGGTTGCCATTTCTTTCTGCGGTAGACCAGTTGCCATCCAAGGCAATAGAACCCGGTCTCCCCTGCTATTTACCCATAGTTGGGTGAGAAGAAGAGTATTCATAACTTTCTCAAAGTTATTAGCACATAAGTGAATGTAATGAGCTTCTCGGCTTGACGGTCGAACTCTCTGCCTCTGAGCAGAGAGGAACCCGGACGAGGCTCCGCCGAAGGGCAGAGTCTCGTTCGGGGAGGTTGACCAACCCGATCCCGTTTATACGGGTTCTACGGGCATTTTTTGGCCGAGCCTACGGGCTCGGGAAGCCCACGTTAAACTCGGCCTTGTGCCACATGCAACCCTCGTGGGGTGGGTGGCTAGATACCGAATGTAATGATTTCGACTGGAATTCGAACTCTGCTCAATAGGAGCCGCTATCTATTATTCCACCATACCAACTTCTACGGGTTACTTATTGCCGAAATCTACATAATTTGTATGCAGTTTTATGCTTTCAACTACAGATATTTTTTTACATATTTTTATACTCTTAGGGTAAAGAAAGATCAGTTTTTTTTATAAATATTCCTTATGCATCATAAAATGTATTTTTTTAATTTTAGTATAAAAATCTATTTTTATATTTTTTTAGTATTGCCCTCAGTGCTATTCTGCTATAAAAATCTATTGCTGCTCATTTTATAAAAATGTACTGCTAATTTTTTGGGGGGCGGGTCACTATTTGCCCATAGATCGGACCCTAACAAATTACCCCTCGGGTCGGGGTGTAACTATGAACAACAGTAATTAAGAAGTGGTTCCACAATCCTCAAACCCACCAACTATTCAGATTGGTGCCGGGTGTAGTTTATCGTCATATCCAGGACAATGATGTGACCGTAAGCAATAATAATAATAATAATAATAATAATAATAATAATAATAAAGAGTTTAATAAATCGATTAATATTAAGTTCTTGATTATCTATCGATATTTAATATAAATGCTAATTTACGGAACACACCAGTAATTTGACATAAGGTTTCTCTTCAAGTATAACTTAATCGTTAGAAGAATAAACCTGTATTAAATTATTAAAGAAAATACCAATCAATCATAAATACTCTCCTCAGGAATGGCAGGTCAATATTTGTTAGGAACAAATCACGAGCAATTAAATATAATTGTTGTTTGCAGTTACAAGAAAAAAATATTTTGACATTTCTGTTAAATCATTTGGGCAAATATATTCACTTACAAAATAATAGTCAAACAACGATAGAAATATTAATATGAATCATTAAATAATAATAACAATAATAATAATAATACTTGATGTAAAAAGAAAGATTTCAAGAACACGGAAGATGGTGGTGAATTAAAAGGCTGAAAAACAAAATGACTGAAATAACAAAAATGAAGACACTCGTCTGAATATTGAATGCAATAAATGCAATTTATAATTCAAAGTTTACTTACAGGATCATGAAAGACCCATTCATAAGGGTTAGACAGCATCGCTAGGTTCCGAGCCTAAAAATCAAAATAAAATCAACAAATATTATATTTAAACAAACAGTCTTTAAAAAAGTTAAAAAAAATATAATAGCGTTCGATTTTTTGAAATGAAACATTTTTCTTCGTCTTCTTTTTATTTTTTTAATCGGTATCATCCCAAACACGGCAGTACGGCCATTAGCATGCAAGGGTTTGCCGGATGTGGAGGAATTAAAAAGAGAAACATTAGTAATAAGGAGAAAGAGAGAAGAGCAATCAGGATGACAGTAGATAGTAATTGGCATTGCATTTAAATTATTGCAGATTAAATTTGGTTGGGAAGAATGGAGCAAGGAGGGAGTTCCAACAAACGAGAAGTACCAGATAAGAAACTGCTAGCATAGAAGTTACGGCAACATCTAGCTAGCTCAACTGTAAATTGATGAGATCTTGACGCCAGTCTAATATTGCGCTTAAATTCATACAGTCAAATAATCATAGCAAAGAGCGATATTTATTTGTTAAAATAAAAAAATGTGGTACACGACCAAAAACGAAAATGGCAAAAAGGACAGTCTTCAGCTGTTTTTACATTAAACTTAGCTAGCCACAAACACAGACCCAAACATACCACTATATTCCTAACACCAAAACAACGCATTCTTACTTACCTTTTTTTACTACATCCACCATAATACCTCTTGTCTCTATGAAAATCCTAACTAGTCCCCATATGTACAATTCATTGTCTGTGGGTGGAGAGGGGAATAAAATAACAATTTATCATAGCGAAGAGCTCATCCGAACAATTACCATTTATAAATAAAAAGGCACAGAGAGGCAAATTTGCGGCGTTTTTTTTTCATTAGTATTTCTTTCATCATATTTCTTTAGATTATTTTTGCTACACCCTAAGCATATATTCTATTATCTGAAAACCATTGAAACCCCCCAAATCCGAAATTTGTAGTGTTACCAAAAATAAACAACATATCTACGGACAGCAGGGACATGGTTGATAATTCGGAGGATTAAGCAACGCCTTCCTGTCGCGAAATAGTAACTTTGGTCTAATGTACACTGCCTGCGAGCTTAGCATTGAAAGGGAATTTTGAGACATGTATCGTGTTAGTTTTCGTGTGCAAATGATATTCACGAAAAAACTGATCAGGCTTAAGATCTGTTCAACTTCCTGTCTTTCAGATGAATTTATTTTCGAATGTCTTCGAGGAAGAATTGTTAATTATAATGAATTTTTGATGAGTTTGTCTTCCATATTACATGACGCCTCTTCGGAAGATCGGTTGAAAGGAGGAACTCATCAGTAAATTATGCAAACTGTCCCGAAAAGAATAAAAAAGAAGATGAGAAAAGATGGCGGCATTTACAATTTCCATACTTATATACATAAAATGTACTTAAATGTGCGAAACATTTAAAAAGTTTTAAAAGATAAATAACGATATATGGCATAAACATTGTTAGATTTTTTTCATTTTTGAATTTGAACACTTCTGAAGTTAGTTTTAAAATTAGCTTGTAGCAGTGAGAGTCACTCGTCTCGTCAAACAAAACGTCTAATATGAAGCGAAGTTTTTTTTTTTATGTTACAGTCGATAAATAAAAAAAATACTGTCGCTGATGGCCTGTGGACCCACGGAATGAAAACTTTGTTCACGCTACAATTTTAATTTGTTCGAGGATTACGTTTGTCAGCATTCGGTATGTTAGCTACTGCCGGCGAGTTAGAGACACCATTGAAATTTTTAATTGTCAAAGTTCAAAATTTTTCATTTTTCATTTAATTAAATTCCCGTTGTTTTATAATACTTTCTTTATTACAATCGCACATGGGAATGAGACAAATTTTACGGAAGTTATTTACTAACCTATGTTTAGTTTACTCTAAATGACGCAGCAAATTGTTACCTTGAGAAAAGCGAACTCTCAAGGAACAGTGCGCGTAAATCATCGCTCCACGACAAAAATCTTATGGTTGTAAAAAATGAAGTAAATGTGGAAAATATTCTAAAATTAAGAAAAAAAAAACCTACATTCCGTGAAAAACCAATCGATCTGACTTATCACGTCCTTAAAATCGATTAAAGTCAATACTAAAAATAGAAAAGGTTTCGACTGAAATCCAATCAACTGATCACTAAATCAATTAAGACAGATGTAAGATAAAAGAAAAAAAAGATGGAACTGAAAGGAAGTGTTTACTTGCAGTAGTTAAATTGTTTTGCTGCTTCTTCTATTCCACTTGTTTTCCTTATAATGAGAAGAGATGCGTTATAGTTATTGAGACGGAAAACGGAACCAGAGAGTCGAGTTCAAATTCAAACAAACGAAGGTCAATTTTCACTTATGCTCCTGTAAAAGTCCTGTATCCAAAGTTGTGTTGTACGCTCTCGTTAGATAACTTTCTGAAATATCTCACTACTTCTATCCCATAATACTTAACAAGGTAGTGGCCTGAGTCTTTGAGCAAATGACTTCTTTTATTACTCAAACAGTAGCAGCAAAAATAAAATCTTTGTAAAGGATCCAATCATAGGAAGTATGCTTAAACAAATTTGAACTGTTATTTAGGTTTACCAATATATTTAGTAAAATAGCACAGCAGCTAATAAATCTCCTGAGTTGGAGACTTCAAGACTGGCATTTAAAACTATAAGCGGCTAAGTTAAAAAGGTAAATAATTTTGTAACCCAAGTAAAATAAAAAATTATGACTGATCTTAAACTTTCAAAGTCAAAATGTGGCTGTTAAGATTTCGAAATTCAGGACATTTTATACTTGATGGATACCATTGTTTTACATCTGCGCAGAAAGAAACGGATTTCATCCTAATTGCGCAAAAAAATTGCCATCATGTGTTAAGTAAATCTTTCAGTTCTAATAAGTATTTAATTTATAAATTAACGAGATATGAATTGGCTAAGACGCTGTGTATATGCACAAATATTTCAAGAAACTCTTACTTTGACAAATTTATCTTTTTTCGGTTACCAAACGTTTTTAAAAATCAAAATTTTGACTCCACATAAATGAGAAATGGCTAGAAAGCATTTAAATTAAATGAAAGTCTCAGTGTAATGATGCTTAACTATTAATAGCATATCTAATTATGAGTAAAAAATCAGATATAGTATGAATTGGTAATCGTCATTAGTTTTTTACCTTCGACAATGAAATACATGAAATGTGGTATCTACTTCTAAATTAAATGGCCCTTTATTTTAATTTTAGAAAATCAAAATGATGTCTATACACTATAAGTCCGTAAAGTTACAGTCCATCTTTTTTATATTTCGAGAACTCTCTCATGGAGTTATTCAGTCGGCAGTTATTGCATGAGGTTGCGTACTCTGTGGCCATTGCATTCAAAATGACTGATCGAATAGATCAGCAAAGTCATCTGTTTTGTACTCTGGTAAAATTATGCATAACCCATGTCTGTCTTTAGCCACATCACCCTACCTTCCAACAAACAGGCTGGATTTGTATGTCTGTGATTTTTCGTTTTGTTCATAGCTGAAATTAGTGCTGAAAGGGGGCATTTCAAGTCTTGTACTAGATTAAAGTGAAAGCGATATAATAGATAATGGTCATTCAGAAACAAGTTTTTAAGGTTTATTGAAAAGAGGAAAAACGTCTGAATAAATATGGAATTCCAAGCGGAGTACATTGAAGATGAACTCTACTTCGCTCTGTTTAATTTCCCGAAATGATTTGTCAACATCTCGTGTCTTTTAAAATAAAATTATTTTGCCATTTCATATTCAGTTTAGTTAGATTTATTCTACTTTTATGCCAAAGCATAATATTACCCGTCTTTACTCTTAATATTACTCAGATTATAGATTTAATGACTGTTGCATTTAAATCCATCTTCTGGCCGAAAATACATCGGGATTTCTTAGGTGTTTTTATGTATGAACTTCTGAGTTCTTTTTGCATATTTTCGTTCCTTATTTTTTTCATCGCCTGAAAAGTTATTGATTCAAGAGTGAATAAAGAATAGAGCTGATGAATCCAGAAGAATACCTCCGTTGAAATGCTATTCTCATCGGCAGCTGCTCGCATCCCTAATTCCCTTTCTCCTCTTTGGTGATGATGGTGGAGATGATAGAGAAGGTCCAGCCTACTCCTGAAGTGTCGTGGGCAGGTGTCACAGAGGAGTGGGGTTGTGTGGACGCGGCTGGGTTAGTCGGGTCTTCCTGACAGCACGTCGCAGGTCCTCTTCATGTTGACGGTTGGACTCGAAAATTTTGCCCACCCCCACCCGCATCTCGGGTAGTCCTACGCCAGGAAGGCCGATTTGCAGCAAGAATTTCCCAAGATTCGGGGGCGATATTGGCCTGTGTCACGAATGTCTTCAACTGATTTTCTGCGTAGCCTCATGAAGCTGGCGAGTTCTCCAAACAGGATCTTATGTATCTAAGATATGCATAGAAAATCATTTGGGCAATTTGACATTGTGTAATGGTTAGCAAACTTGGCTTGCTAGATCACTTTATCTGTGTAGTGAAAACGATCCTCAATGTGTGCTCTAAACTGTCGGCCTTGTGTTCTATCTAAGATATGCTTAGAAAATCATTTGGGCAATATGACGTCGTGTAATAGTTTGCAAACTTTCCTTGTTAGACGACTTTATGTCTGACTAGTGAAAACGATTCTCATTAGGTGATATACACTGACGACTTGAGCTATATCTAGGATAGTTTACAGTATAGTTTAGGCTGTTTGACGTCGTGTAATGGCTAACATTACGACTGAGTTGTGATTTCGATCCTCACTGGGTGTTCCATATTTCCGGCCTTGTGACACAGCTATGCTTAGATAATCATCATTTAGCGATTAAGCCGCCACCGGCTTTCAGTAAAAGGAACAGCTTAACAGCGAAATTACAAGTTACAGATTAAATATCAAGGAAGCGTTTTAACAGACGACGTAAAGTGCAATAACGAAAGCGCACTGAGATAGCGAAAGATGTCTTTTAAAAACTGAGCAATGTTTTAAGAACAGTAAAA